GAGGGAGGGCCTAATTTTCATCAATTAATCTTCAACCATCACTCAAAGCTTGGAAATACTCAAGTAGAGCACCAAATTCTTCATCCAAAAAGGTAAGATTTCATCACCCCAACTCTTAATTTCAAACATAGCTATAATGGGGTACTAGGGTAACACTTCATGGGTATGAGAGTGGTTCATCTTGCATGCATGTGATAAAGAGTGTGGGAAAAATAAAAAGTAAACTAGAACTATGAATATTTTCCTAATTTTGGGTTCAATTTGTATATTGCAAAAATAGATTGAGGTTGCTAAGGGTTCCGGGTAATTGTAGAGTCTAAAGAAGCGCAATTGAGGTATGTATGGCTAACTCTTTTCTTCTTAGAATCGAACGTCTGGTGTCCGAATAATTGGTGTAAGTTCCAACTTGATCATACTAGAATTGTTTGCCTTAGTGTGTTGGATTGAAAGATTCATATTCCCTAATTGTTTTAGATGGTTACCATGTCAGCATGCTATTTGAGAATGAAATCATGATTTTCCAAGCTCCTTCCCTTATGTGTGAAATGCCTTATGTGATAGCACTTATCAACATGAATGATGATGTTATTGAAACGAATACAAAGGGAAAGACTTGAATTGTAAAATATTCCCAAGTGCCAAGAACTACTTAATAAATGAGGCTGTTTGTGCCATGTAACGAAAGATGGGAAAGAGTTGTGAATTGAGTGAACAATTGAAAGAGGTTATGTCTCAAGTGAGATGACTAAGCCGATCGGGCCAAGATCGGACGCCATGCTGTACACATGGTGGCATTTGTGTTGAAATCATTGATTTACAATGTGGATATGGATATGTCTCACTTGAGATGGCTTAGCCGGTCGGGCCGAGACGGGACTCCGTATAAAAATACGGTGGCATTATGAGTCGTGGCTTTGGCACTAAAGATTATTAACCTAAAAAGATGGAAAGATTGAATTGGAAATTATGTGATCCTTACTTGGTGTTTCTTTGTATTTCTGTGAAGTACTTATTGATTATTATGACTGCCTTCTCTTTGTTTCACTGTTCATTCTACTAAGATTGGTGTTTGCCTTACATACTAGTACTATTCGACAGTACTAACGTCCCTTTTGCCGGAGGCGCTACATCTTTGAATGGATGTAGGTGGTTCCATCGCAGATAGTGCCGATCGCAAATAGTGGTGCTCTCTTTCTCTCCTCACAGCAGTCTTGGTGAGCCCCATTCCTGCCAGGGGTCATGTAGTCCTTCTTTTGTATAAGTTTTCATATTTTGATGTATAACCGGGGCCTTGTTGCCAGAATTGTCATGTTGCTCTTTTGTACCCTTAGAGGCTCCGTAGACGTTTATGTGGGTCATGTATGTATGTTGGGGTGGTCGTTGGATCGAGTTGTATTTTAGAAACTCAACTATGGCATAATGTACATATATAAGGAAAAATGAACTAGCAACGTTTATATATTTATATAATTGATCTCTCCCCTGTTTTACAAATGATGATGCGTTCCCTTTTTGGATTATGAATGAGTCGGGTAGGAAAGGTTCAATAGGCTTGCTCGACCGGGTTCACTTAGTTGAGCGCCGGTCGCGCTCCCCGAGGTTGGGGTGTGACAAGAATAATGCATTGTCTATTATAAGTTTTGTTCCATTAGACAGAAATATAGTGGCTCTTCCGGAGCCTTCAATTAAACTTATATTACCAGAAATTGTTGAAACATTTACTTTTTTCTTATACAAATAAGAAAAGTATTTCTGATATTTGAATATGGCATGAGTTGTTCCACTATCAATTACACAAATATCTTCATGATTGGTCTTTGATCCAAACATAATTTGAGGATTATCCATATTCTTCAAAATGACATAAACAAAATAAATATGATAGTAAACATCATTATCAAAGCATAACTTTTATTTATGTACAACAATTACATAACCATATTATTTACTACAAACAATAAAAATTAAAATATTTACATCTCTACAGATTAATCACCGATCACATGACTTGTTTCTCCTTCTGGGAGTGCAAAGTAATCAGCTACATCCAAATGCATGAAGTCTAAATTATCTTCAGAAATAAAATTTACTTCAGCATTTTTCTCTGTCTGCTTCAGGGAGGCTTGATATAGCTCAACCAGGTGCTTTGGCATATAACATGTACGTGAACAATGTCGCTTTCCTCCACATCTATAGCATGCATTTTCTAGCTTTGTTGCTTGCACCGCTTCATGCTTTTGCTTCTTCCTTTTCCACTGCTGGTGGTGAGAAGGGTTCTTTGGTGCATTATTATTACCATGATTAGAGTTTTTTCCCCGACCACGACCATGACCACGACTGGGGCCACGTCCTCTTCCACGCTTAGCTTGGTGGAAGTTCATCTCATTCACTTTAGGGAATGGACAAGAATCAGTAGGTCGGCTTTCATGTTTTTTTTATTAATAGCCCATTATGTTGCTCGACTACAAGAAGATGTGAGATAAGTTCAGAATACTTTTTGAATCCCATTTCTCGATATTGCTGCTGCAGGAGCATATTCCAGGTATGAAAAGTGGTGAAAGTTTTCTCCAACATATCATGATTAGTAATATTATCACCACATAGTTTCAATTGGGACATAATTCTAAACATAGTAGAATTATACTCACTAATAGATTTAAAATCTTGTAGCCTTAGATGAGTCCAATCATAATGTGCCTGTGGAAGAACGACCATCTTCAGGTGGTCATATCTATCTTTCAAATTATTCCACAGTATGACTGGATCTTTAATAATGAGATATTCCATTTTCAAGCCTTCATCAAGGTGATGGCGTAGGAATATCATTATTTTCGCACGGCCTTGGTTTGATGCTTATTTTTGTCCATGATGGTGTCTGCCAGACCCATCGCATCAAGATGAATTTCAGCATCAAGCACCCAAGACATGTAGCTTTTGCTCGATATATCCACGGCTACAAAATCAAGTTTAGAAAGATTTGACATTATTTAAAAAAGAAAGTTCGTACCTCTGATACTTTCAAAGTATTTGCTCGAGATGGAAGAGTCTCGTGTTGATAACGCTCACCGCCCCTCAGGCTTAAAAGCCTTTTCGTTGTCACCACTTACGTGTTATAAATAAAGACTGTAAAGTAAAGACAAGTATAGAGAGAAAGTGATATATTATTCAAACTTCAAACTTATGTACATAATGAACTGAAAGCTCCTCTATTTATAGAAGAAATCAAGATGATGTGTAAGTTGCTACTTTACCAGATATAGATAATCTTCTACCGGGGTAATGTTTATCCATAACGGAGTACCGAAAGGATAAGTTCATTATACCAGATATAGATAATCTTCTACCGGTGGTAATGTTTATCCATAATGGAGTACCGAAAGGATAGGCTCATTATACCATATATAAATAATCTTCTATTGGGAGTAATATTTATCCATAACAGAGTACCAAATGAATATCCATAATATAATATATTTATAACAACATTAAATTTAAAAGGTGAAAATAAAGGCGGGAACAGAACCAGATCAGAGTAGAGCAACATATGGGTCTTGCGGTAATTGAGGTGAATCAGTGATGGGGTCCACTATGTTGGCTTTTGGGCCCACAACACTATCTAAAGTCAAAAAGTGTACTATCTTTTGTGGAGCTCTGTGATTCTGGGAGAATGAGCCCGCAACATTTTCTTTGCCCACCAAAGATTAAAGGTGTTTGTATTTTCTTTTTATGAGGAAATAAATTTTCAAAATTTTTTATTACAAAACGAATCCTATTTGCTATTGCAAAACAATAATAAACTCCATTTTCCTTGTAAGAAAACTTATACAAATAAGTTCCTAATTTTTAAAGAATTATAACGAGTCTTAACGGACCCTCTACAATAATTGAAACAGAATCACAAAATATCTTTAGGCTTCATGCCTAAAGTTCAATAACATAAGTAGTAATCTCACATTTTTCCAATTCAATAATCTAATATTCTTAATTTAGAAAAGGCAAAAGAAAAGGAGAAGAGATCCCCATAAAAAGACAAAAGTGTAAAATAGAAATAGAAGAAAAACTTGTTTGTGTATGGAGCTTTGGCAAAGTGTAATTATGTAAAGTGATCTAGGCATCATTCAACCACTGAGATAATACTAGTAGTACATGATTAAAAGAAAAAAACAAGATCAAAAGGAGACGGACCAAAATTCCACTACGTAACCATGTCAGGAACAGCAAACAAAATCCTTAAATTATACTATCTAGGTCAGTTTCAACAAGAGAAAACCTCTAATATATTGATTTCTTAATGTGGCAATAACTAATTTTCTACTTTTCACCCAATTAATTTTGTAACGTTTTAGTATCAATGGAACTCGTGATTAAAGTTTATATATTGATGAAACTTAAGTTAAGATGTTGGAGTTTACAGTTACAAGTTAAACTAACATACTGATAATAATTTAATGTCCTAAAGTAAATACGAATTGATTCTACTCTTTCTTACTAAAGAGAAATCAATTGAGTATGAATTCTTTTTGTCGAATTTAATAGTGAAAAAGGAAAATTCATCCAATCCCCTCCTAAAAAGACCAAACACTAAAGTTAAATAAGTAACAATACTGCACTAGTCTGGAATATACTTTATTCATACATACATCCCCAGCTAGTATACTTCCAACTTTTTGAACTTGAGTTCGATTTCTATAGATTGATACTGTGAAGCTTTTGTTTACGTTATCACATCACTTAAATATAATTATAGTTGTTAACAATCCAATAAATGGACTTATTTTAGAATCAGCTTATAGACACTTAGTTCTTGCAAATTAAGATAAGTTATGGTCAAACCTCTTTGTAACAATCACGTTTGTTTCGATATTTTTTTATATGTTATAATAAAATATTGTTATAGAAGAGATATATTATAACATAATATAAAATATCGGTTTCGAGAAAGTATTTTACAGTGAGCGACTGTTATTTTGTTAACGCAACAATACTGATACTGTATTTTACACCGACTATGCATTACTCCCTCCGTTTCAATTGGCACCCTCCCTCTCTTTCTCATTTGTTCAATTGTCTGTGTAAACGCATTTGCTTTTCATACATGTTTTTGAACAGTTAAAATTCTCCTTCTCTTCTCTCTCTGTTTGTACACAGTACAACCTGCATATAAGTTTATACAAGTTTCTAAAGGAGTTTCTTTGTTCAATTTTTTTGCAAGTTTTTATAGTCAGTTATTCTTTCTCTACCAAGAAAATTCCATTAAAAAAAACAAGAATCATTTAACTCACTATCACAATGTTACCTAAAACGCCAATGCTATTTTCTCTTTTAACCATTTTCATCATTTCCTCTTCCTTCACACATGGAGTAGCAGAGTCTCATTTTCGATTACCACCCATATCAGGTATTTAGCCTTTTCTCTTTTTTGCTTTTTATGCGAAAAGTTCTATTCTATTATGCATTTTTTTCCAGCTTATGTTTCGAAGATGTTTTATTTTAGATGAATATAGGGAGGGGAGGAATGAAGATGATGTGGTAATGTTTTCAAGGGGTACAAAAAGGATATTTGCAGAAGGTCCCAATATTGCTGAGCCTCCAGTTCTGACTTCTTCACTTATATTGGCTCCAAAGAGAACTTACAGAAAAGACCCTTTAAATGGTTTTAAGAAATATACTGGAGGATGGAATATCAATGATCGTCATTACTGGGCTGTAAGTATTCAAGATTTTTACCTTTCTTGTAATTTATTAACTGTAAATCTTGCCTAAATACAAAATGTAGGTGAAGAAACAGTTTTCAACAAGTTGGTAAAGTTGAGTCACTTTTCAGTGTTTTGGACTTTTTCCAGCTTAAACCAAAGAGCTAAAGATAAAATACATTTACACTTGAGTCTATAAATTTTATCTGCATGTATTTTTTTTCTTTCAATTGTTTTTTCATGCTATTACTCGTTTCTATGCAGTCTGTGGCATATACAGCAGTTCCATTCTTTATCGCGGCGCTGATCTGGTTTGTGATATTTGGTCTATGCTTATTGCTCATCTGTCTCTGCTACCGTTGCTGTAGAAGAGAACATTATGGATACTCTCGAATGGCTTATGCTCTTTCCCTCATATTCCTCGTACTATTTACCATTGCTGCAATGTATTCATTCTCTCTCCCCATTCTCCTAAATGGATTTAATTTATATATACATCGACAGTGTAATTTTTTTTACATGACTGGAATATTTTACCCTGTTGTAGCAGTTAACCTGCCTTCTTTTCCATGTTAGTAATCCTATGTGTGGTTACATGAAAGACCTCTTACGATTAAGAGATCCCTACAATTTATATATCATGTCCCAATCTTTTCAACTAATAATGTGAGACTTGGCACACCCAACATTATCAAGGTTACTAATCTCACTACTTATGAGCATTTATTTGTACGTATCGTAAAAGTGACCTGATAGTGCAAACATTAGTTCTGGCAGTGTATAGAAATTGAACTCCAAACAAATCCCTTTACATACATGTGCATATGCACATATTTATATGCTTTTCTCTTTTGAAGTTTGGCTCTCACATTCATATTTGCTTTTCTATGTGCAGCATTGGATGTTTCATTTTGTATACAGGCCAAGAGAAGTTTCACAGCAGTACAATTAACACATTGGATTATATGGTGCATCAGGCAAATGCCACAGCTGATAATCTTATGAATGTGTCTGTTTATCTAGCTGCTGCCAAACAGCTCGCAGTGGATAACGTTTCGATCCCTGCTAATGTCCAAACCGACATTGATTACATCCAAACAAAGATTACTTCTTCTGCTAGTACCCTTTCTACTAAAACAGCTGGCAATAAGGGTGACATAGAACACCTTATAGAATCAGTGTAAGTGAATGGCATTTCAAGATTGTTGTTGCATTTCATATCATTAAAATGCCTTTGGCTACATTTATGCAGGAGAGTGGCTCTCATCATTCTATCTGCTCTTATGCTTCTATTGATTGTTCTTGGATTTGGTAAGATTACCTTGATCGCTCACCAGATTTTTTACATGTCATAAATTTAAATGGTTCTTCATATTTTATGCTAATAAATTTGATGTGATTGTCTTTTCTCCTTCCAGTATTTTCAATGTTCGGAATGCAGGTTCTTGTTTACACGTGAGTTTACATTTGCGTTACTACACCGTTATGTATCTTGTCTTTCCATACTTTTCCTCCGTACTTCTTTCTCAATGAAAGATCTCATGTTCTATTTGTGCAGTTTGGTGATATTTGGATGGATTCTTGTCACTGGGACATTAATTTTATGTGGGATATTTCTTATTCTCCACAAGTAAGCATTGATAAGTTTCCCTTATGGTTTCTGTTTCACTAGGCTGCTGCGAGCTAGTTATGACATATCTCTTATCAAATTAGGCAAATCTTCGTCTTATGGATACAGCTTCTCAGGAGAAAACAGAGTTAATCCCTAACTTGATGTTGGAGTTAAAAAGTTCTGATATCTGCAGCTATTCACCAATACATGAAAATGAGGGGTGTGCTGGTGGTGTGGGGTTTAGGCGCGATGTCATTCTGATTGCTTCTTTAGGAATCAGTATTGTAACAGCCCAACCCACTAGTGATATTATTTGCTTTGGGCCTAGGGTCCTGGCTGATATTTGTCCCACCATTGTCCGCTTTGGGCCTAGGTCTGCACGGCTTTAAAACGCGTCCCTAGAGTCTAAAGTATGTCTACTTATATACCCAGCATTTCTCCCGTATTTTGTCGATTTAGGATTCGCCTAAAGTGTCACAGAATCTTTCAGAGGGAGCTGATTGCAGAAGAATGTCTAAACTTAATCTAGCAGCCTCATTCTAGTATTGATTAACATGCAACGAGATTTAAAACTTCAATTCTCATGGGCGGTTTGTTACTAATATTTTCTACAGGCATAATATCGCATTAAACCTTGTACAGAAACTAATTGGGAGGACAACATGATGAAAAAGAGTAATTACTTAATAGTAGGTCTTTGTTGTAAATGGTTAATGACAATTTAGTACTGTTTGATGAGTCTTTTCAAGTGTCCTCTAATATTATTTATTTGACACTATCTTGTCTATTAAAATCCAGTTTGTGAAACATCTCTAATTGTTCTCTGTTTAACGTTTCAGCGTGACTGCAGATACTTGTGTAGCAATGGATCACTGGATCCAAAACCCCACATCTCATACAGCTTTAGATGACATATTGCCTTGTGTGGACTATGCCACTGCACAAGAAACATTAACCAAAAGCAAAGAAGTGAATTATAACCTGGTTGATATTGTCAACCAGGTTATTACAAATGTCTCTAACATCAATTTCTCTCCCAACTTTGCTCCTTTCTACTACAATCAATCAGGACCTCTGCTGCCAATCCTTTGCAATCTGTTTAATCCTGACTTAACTTCTCACACCTGTTCTCCTGCTGAAGTGGACTTGGATAATGCAACTCAGGTAGTATTATTTGCTTAACAATATTTCCAGTCTCGATGTTCTTGAAGTTTCCTTGGAAATTAATAATCATGTCTAACTTAGTCTGAGGCTCTTAGTACATCCTCCATGTTTGACAACAAGAAAAGAGCGACTATCTGCTTGCCAAAGATGATAAAGTTTGATTATGCTCTGTGCACGGACAGTGTCAGTATATATAACTTAAACTCGTTTTGATTATATTTAGTTTTCGTACAATGCAGGTTTTGAACAACTATGTTTGTCAAGTTTCCCCGAGTGGCATTTGTGTCACACCGGGCCGTTTGACTCCAACTCTCTACAGTCAGATGGCTGCTTCTGTAAATGTGAGCTTTGGATTGTACAATTATGGTCCATTCTTAGTTCAACTGCAAGACTGTGATTTTGTTAGGCAAACTTTTGGTGACATATATAATATACATTGTCCTGGTCTGCTGCAATATAGCAAAAGAGTGTATGTTGGGCTAGTGATGGTAACTGTTGCAGTGTTACTTTCTCTTACATTCTGGATCATATATGGGAGAGAGAGGCGCCACCGCATCTATAAGAAAGAGCATATGCACAAACTTGATGAAGGAATTGAAGAGGATAAACCAATTCAAGAGTAGTCTACTTCACCTTTTGCAATAGGACTAGCTGAGAGATGTATTGTTTCTGTTGTAACTTGTATTGGGTTTGCTGTATATACTGAAAAACTGATGGCAGTTCAAAGAGCCTAAGGTGTATTGTATGTTGAGGTTCCCAAAATAATTAGGTGTTGAACAATCAATGTGTTTCAATCATAGCCATTGTAGTTTGATATTAGTAAACCAGCCACTAGATTGTTGTTTAGACAAAGACTCCGTTTTTTCCTCGATGATAAATCTTTCTCAGAACATGGAGTGTGAATCAAATCCATGTTTGAATTGAAATTGAGATACTGATGCAAGTTCTTCCCTTCTGAATCATATTCTTTCATATATGTAAGAGGTTGACAATAAGTTCTTTCAAAATTGACTATTTGCCCCTCTGTTAGAGGTGTTCCAGATAGGGGTGGGCATAATACCGCCCGAACCGAAAATTTCGATTTATTCGATTTCGATTTTTCGATTTATTCGGTCGGTTTGCGGTTTATTATTTTAAAATTTTTGGTGGTCGGTTTTAATAGTTCGGTTTTCGATTAAACCGAAGAACCGATGAAATATAGTCGATGTCTGATATCTTATCAAATTACTTGCAAAGTCATCTAGCTGGTTTAGTGGTGAGTAATGCTTATGGAAAAGGAGTTATGCTACCTTGTTGGTCAATCATACTAAACTATTCAAACATCTTGTAAAAACATCATTTGGTGTTTGATAGAATTTCGATACGAAACAATGTGCAAGCAGAATACAGAGAAAACGATAAAGAAACCAAGTGTCAAAATAGTCAATGTATTTGTATATTAGCCTTGGACTAAAATCACATTATAAGATTGTTATTTCCACCATCAGTAATATAGTTTATTAGCTAATAGTACATGTTGAATATTTTTTGTAGCAATATGTGTACCGTGTATAGGAAATAGACAAAATCAAACAGTTTTTTATCTGCATTACCGAACGTTCAAATTTCATCATCCAGGATGTACCAAAGCAAAAACATATTTGCTATGTGTTCCAACACAATTGATGACCGCGAGAGCTTATTGGAATGGTTCTCTTAATGAAAGATTAAGAGATAATGAGTTGGTTGTGGAGTAAATGAACGCCCAATGCTTCTCCTATAGTGCTGCCACTGCCACTGCTGCTGCTTCTGTTTTGTCTTAGCTCGGTCAAATAAAGGGAATTATATGAATTTGAATCGAAAACCGAATCGAACATGAATAAACTGAACCGAATCGAAGTTATTATGGTTCGATTTTGGTTATTAAAATCACAAACCGAAAATTGAATTAACCGAACCGAAATTCTACAAACCGAACCGACCGATGCCCACTCCTAATTCCAGAAATATCTGCTATCGAGTAAATAGCTCTACGAACGAATGGATCGGATCGACTTGGGATGGGGAATAATAACACAATTATAGGGTAAGTTCTACGATAAATATGGTTCGGTAATTTAGAAAAATGTGTAATGTATTAAGAGTCAATGATCTCATCTGTCTAAACCTTTATCAGGAAAGTGGTAGCAGATATTTGACAGAATAATTTGAGGTGTTAGACAACTAGCATACTACATTTCATGCCCTTAATTAAGTCCTAGCACATGTTTTAACCCTGATTTGACTCGCTTAATTAACATAACTGAATTATTGATTAAGCAGTACCCTCCAAAAGTTGGCACCTAAACATGATCATAGGATTTGATTAATAATATCTTAAGCAAGTTGGTGTGCAGCGCTAATTTATAAAACGTTATTAGTTGTATTATTGTCGCGATTCAAATAGATAAACAAGTAATTAGAAGCTTCGTTGATGCTTTGCGTTAATCAAATACTACATAGTCCTAAAATTGGAGCTATACCTTCTTGACTCTCCATTTTGCAAAACAAAAAGGTGGGGTACTGGGTACATGAATCTGGTGTCAAGTATCATATTTTTTCTATCCCTTTTTGTTTTTTTATTCAGTTCGTTCAGCCAAAAATTCCTTTCACCTTCTTAAAATACAGTACAAATCCTGAAGGCTAGAAAGATTAGATATTCTCAGGAAAAAAAAAAGAGAATAATAATAATAACAATAGTAATAATAATAATAATAATGTTTTTTTAAAAAAGTTGAGGCTCCATAATTTCTACTCCGTAAATTTTTTTTTTTGAAAAAAAATATGCTATTGTCTGCGACGTGACATAAATAAATAATGAATAAATAGGAGTTAATATTGTTCCAGTTGCCAGTATAAAAATAGTTACTTCATCCATCTCAAATTATCTGTCATGATTCTCAAGTACACACCCTTTAAGAAAAATTGATTAGGACGTAATTTTGACTATTTTACCCTTATTCATGTCTTAATATTTAATTTTTCTTCCTTGGTATTTAAGCAAAGTTATCCATAATTGCGTGTTTGTAGTCTTCAAGGATAATTATTACTAAAGGTAAAAAAAAAAATATTTAATTTTATCTTGAACTTCTAAAATGATAAATAATTTAAGACAATTATTTTTAGTAATCACGACTGCTAAAATGAGACGGAGGGAATAGTATTTTTAGAATTAAAAGATATTTTTGGGTGGTAATTAATATTCTTGTTAGACATTATTCATACATGGCATAAACTATTCTTTTGAAAATAAACAGCTAAGTACTTCATTAGTATCTACAAAAGAAAATGTGTTATTTGTGATCTGACATTCTGTCTTTAACACATGCCCTAATCCTGTTCGAATAACTTACTTATCACAATTAAAATCTTAGATCCAGTACCCTCCTAAAAATTGGCTCCTAAAAATGATGTGGTTGTGATCATACGATATTAATTTATAGTACCTTAAGCAAGTTGGTATACAACGATAATTTATTAAACATTAAAAATTGTGACATTAATTTATAGTACCTTAAGCAATTTGGTATACAACAGTAATTTATTAACATTTTCAAGTGTATATTATAATGCGATGATTCGAATCTACAAAAAATATATTTAGAAGCCTCATTGATAATTTTTATTATTCAAAACCTTAATACAGTCTTAGAACTAGAGCTAATCCTTGTTGACTCTCCATTTAAAACCCCAAAAAGAAAAAAAAGAAAAAGGAAAAACAAAAAAAACCACACTACACATACACACGAACAGTTACTTTCGAGCAGTTAGTAGCCCAATAGCCCTCACCTTATTAGTTTTTCATATTCTCTTTCAATTTAATAAAATATACTCTAATACCTTAACACAACATAGTTAATCCCCATTAATCTGATCATGGCAGAATAATTAACGTAGTTGCATCAAGTTCTAGTATTCTTCTAACTCTTGTCACCATATCAATTACTATCATTTCTAGTTTATTTTTGTAAATATGTTATAAGTAAATGATATATTCTACAATTGTACGAACATAAAAAGTCATTTTGTCAAAATAATATCTCACGAATTAGAACTAGATTTTACTTTATTTTTCTTTTTTACAAAAGTTAACTTGGTATTCGTATCCATTAATTAGTACTTTTAGTGTGTTTGTGTGATGATTATGATATAATTAATGAGAAATTTTAAATAAGAGAACATAGAGATATTATCTATAGCCACATAGTCGTATATATGATTTGGAAGGAACTTATAGAGTCTGTGAGAGGAGCAAGTTAGCAACTAACATCATTCAAAATGACTGTAATATAACGTTACATATAACAAGATATGAAACTAAACAATACATTAAAGAGTTTTGGAGTCCATTGCTCAAATGGTCATTCAACTATCCCAAATTATCGGTTAAAGTCATTTTTTTTGTAACAACAAAATCACTTAATTATGCCTATAACACTCAGAAGGTCACTCAACGAGATTTTCCAAATTTTGGATTGTCAAATACCTATTTTACCCTCTAAATTATAAACATTTATCTTATTTGTTTTAACTTTTTAATTTATGATTTTTCCTTTTTAATTTATATTATGGACTTACCTATATAATAAGTAAAATTTATTTATAAATTAAAAAAATAAAAAATATTTAAGCATATATAATGCTGGAATAACAAAATAATGAGCATAGTAAAAAATTAATTAGAATAATTTATTCGTAATAATTTTAGTATTAACAACAAAAATTAAAAAAATTATTTACACAATTGAGAATGAAAGAAAAATAAAGTTTGTAAAATATATATTTCATGCACGTAATATAAAAATAATTATTTAAATAAAGGTATTTTTATAATATACATTATATATGGTTGAAATTTATGCTTATATTATTATTCCGTCATTATATGAACTGAAAACTAATTTTTTATTTTATAAATAAAATATATTTTTCTATAGGTAAGTCCACAATGTAGATTAAATAGAGAAAGCACTTACTTATAATATTTAAAAAATTAAAAAAAATGATAATTTAGAGGGTAAAATAGGTATTTGACAATCAAAAATTTGAAAAATCTAGTTGAGTGACCTTCTAAGTGTTATATGCATAGTTAAGTGACCTTGTTGTTACAAACGAAAGAAAAATGACTTTAATAGATAATTTAGAATAGTTAAGTGACCATTTGAGTAATGAACTCAAGAGTTTTGTAAAGCAACCCTAGTATATCCCAAAGGGTAGGTTATAAGGTCAACACCAATTTAACTAACATTATTGTTCTTATCACTAGAGAACCAAATGACTTTGCAACTTGTTATGATTATGTAACCAAATTAAGATAGCGGCATTGCATATTAGTTTTTGCTTTTCGATTTATTTTCTTTAAAAATTGGAACTATTAAAATTACATGAGTTTTAAAACTGATACTTTCCGGTAAACATTTCTTGTAAAAGCCTTTGAGAAATGAAATGGAAATAATGGACGAAAAAATCGAAAATAGCCGTATTATTTTCAGCTTGAAATATGTACCTGTAAAGAAATCATGTAAAATGCATACAAGTTAATAGACTGAACTCACAATAAAGCTTATCGACTCTAAATTCTAAATCTTGACACTATTTGTGTGTAAATAAATTGTGAATTTGAAATTTAAATTATCATCTAAGCTTGATTTGGATAACCTTATGGCTTATCCAAGCAACCACTAGCAACCAAATTTGTAGGTTAGAGTCTATCTGCCGAATGCATTGATTTAATCTCCATCTCATCACTTTGTTGCTTTGGTCAGAAAATAAAACCAGAATTTAAAGTTTATAGGTTTTAATATACTGTCGAACTCGTAGTTTATTATAATTAGTGGGTTCACAATTGAATATATATACATATTTAATTAATTTTT